CAGAAAAGGTAAGCGGCATATTTCTTCAATACTAGAATTGATAAGATTTAATCTGCTAGTTCAACAAGGTGAAAAGCCTTTGCCGGCGGGCATTTTCATATTGTGCCACTCTCACAGGCTATGGAGGCGACAAAAACAATTTTAGCCAGCCATCTGAGCAGGATTTCTTCTTTATTAACTTCTGTATTTTTTCCCTCCTCAGTATGTCTCTGCTGAGCCAGCAGCCGTTCTTGTCTTTGGTGCTGACCTGCTTAAAGGGGCAGGACGAACAGAGGGAAGGCCTTCTCACCTCCCTCTACAGCCAGGTGCAGCAGATCGTTACCAACTGGAGAGAAGACCAGTACCAGGACGACTGCAAGGCAAAGCAAATGATGCATGAGGCTCTGAAGCTTCGACTGAATCTTGTACGTAGCTTTTTGATCAACACAACCAGCCTTTACAGCACAACGTCTCTGGCTATAGAAAGTAATATCCATAATATTTAAAGAAAACCGAAAGCACTACGACTTAATCTTACATCAAACGTTGGGTTATGAGGAGACTAACAGTGTTTGTTCCTCTCATAACAAGGTGGGTGGCATGTTTGACACGGTGCAGCGCAGCACCCAGCAGACCACTGAGTGGGCGGTACTTCTCCTCGACATCATCAGCAGCGGCACAGTGGACATGCAGTCCAACAAGTGAGTGTTGACTAAACAGAAAACCCCATTCCACACATTATTCCTCTAATGGGACACTTCAGTTATTATTTCTGAGCACACATTCTGTTTCCAGTACAATTTTCAGTCCCGTGATCGTCCTGGCTCTTATGTCCGTTTCTCTCCAACAGTGAGCTCTTCACAACAGTGTTGGACATGTTGAGTGTGCTGATTAACGGCACACTGGCTGCTGACATGTCCAGCATCTCTCAGGGCAGCATGGAGGAGAATAAGAGAGCCTACATGAACCTGGTTAAGAAGCTCAGGGTAAGAACAGCGCACCTTCCTCACTGCTGTCTGAAGATGTGATCACACTTCTAAGATGTAGTATTTTCACAGTTTTTCATAGAATGGTTGTCAACATAGTTTTGTTGTTCTTTAAAGTCAGTTTGCTTTTTATCATTATTTTCTTTGCACCTACAATAATGGGACACACCACAACAGTATCAGGTTAACAAAATTAAGCAATATCACTTTCACCTAGTGTCCAAAAGGCTTTCACACTATAAAGAAAATAGTCAGGGTTTATTTTAACTACATCTGTCTTGATTAGCTGATTCTTCTGCATGCTGGAAAATGTTTTGAATAATATACCCATGTAGAGATGAGGCAAAAAACGTCACTTGTTCCTTGTAAAGTGAAGCTTTTCATTAACATTTTCATAATGGCTCCTCTGCTCCATGTACCCATTTTGTTTCCACAGAAAGAGCTCGGGGATCGGCAGTCAGAGAGTTTGGAAAAGGTTAGACAGCTTCTGCCGCTGCCCAAGCAAACCCGGGATGTCATAACCTGTGAACCTCAGGGCTCACTGATAGACACAAAGGGGAACAAGATCGCTGGATTTGAGAAGGAGGTACGCTGTTTCTCACACGCTGATGTGACTTGACATCAACCTGCAAAGTTACCCACAATTCAGTGTGATTTAGTTGCATGATGAGTTGCTCATACTGTATCTTCAAAATCGGATACACAAAAAAAGAAGTTTACATAGTACAACAATTTGTGTTAATGTAATCTAAAATAATAATAATTAAGATAAGACTGCTATATCTCTGTGCTTGTCTCCCATCAGGGCCTCCAAGTGTCAACCAAACAGAAGATTTCTCCCTGGGACGTCTTCGAGGGTCTCAAACACTCCGCCCCGCTCTCCTGGGGCTGGTTCGGTACGGTCCGCGTTGACCGCAAGGTCACCAAATTTGAGGAGCAGCAGCGTTTTCTGCTCTACCACACCCACCTGAAGCCCAAACCTCGCAGCTATTACCTGGAGCCGCTCCCCCTGCCGCCCGAGGAGGAGGAGCCCCTGACTCCCGTCTCCCAGGAACCAGAGAAGAAGATGATGGAGGCGGTGAAGCCAGAGAAGAGTGTGCCCGCTGTGCCCTCCGATTCAAACAAGAAGAAATCCAGCAAGAAGAAGAAAGCTCCTTCTGCCAAGACTGAGGTCAGTTTTATATATATATATATATTCTTTAAATGTTTGTTTCCTGGACATAAGATTTTAAAAGTTGTATATTGTCCCCTTCTTCTCACTAGGACTATGTGAACCGTACACCAGGCGGTGTGACCTACGGGACTAGTATGCCACCTGAGCTGATGCAGAACCCATATGGCAGGCTACCATATGGCCAGCAGACCATGAGCATGTACACGCAGAACCAGCCTCTACCTCCAGGTCAGCTCATTGCATATTCTCGCATCATGATCAGTATGACACACTGAAACAACAAAATACCATCTGGGATTGTGGTTTACTTCGTGTGTTCTTCCACAGGAGGTCCAGGTTTAGAGCCTCCATACAGACCTACCCGCAACTCACAGATGAACAAAATGATGCCTACTCGGCCCAGCTACTCAGGCATGATGCCCAGTATGCCGGGAAGCATGCCTGGCATGATGGGACTGGACAAGCAATACCCAATGGGTTATAAGCCCCAGTCTACAATGGCGCAGGGCCAGATACTGCGGCAGCACCTACAAGTCCGACTGGTGAGTCAGTCCGCCATGACGGGTCAAACTGCCCCTCATAGCCAGGTAGTGTTGACCAAAGAATTAAGGAAGTTGATTCTCAGTTTTATTGCTGCTGTAATTCAGTTTGCAAGGTTAATGGATGAAGAATGATATGGTTGAGTTAAGGGAAAAAGTTGCGATCAAATCAGCACTAAGAGTCCTCTCTTAATAGCTGGAAGATGACATTTAATCATTTCTATTTGCTGACTTCTTTTTTTCCTCCTTTCAGAATCAGAGCATGATAGGGCAGCAGATTAGACAAATTACACCCAACCAACCATACACTTCAATGCAGGCATCTCAGGTAAGTCTAGTTTTTGTTTTTGTTTTGCTAAGAAATGCATCCGACACCTTTATTCTCAGAAAACATACAGTATATCATCAGACACCTTTATTTATAGAAACTAACGATGAATCATTTTAAAAAGCTGTTTGGACTTTGGTCCCCACGACACCAGTTTGAGATAATCATCTGTGTTTACCATCCACATATAAATACCTTAAAAGTTGTATATCCACACATCTCTGGTTTTGTTTGGGTTCACAACATAACTTGTCTTGACATCCACACTATCAATGAATGGTCAACATTGCCTCTGTTTGTACAGAACATATCTCAGGGCTATACCACGTACGGATCACACATGGGGATGCAGCAGCATCCGTCCCAAGGTGGTGGTATAGTTCCGTCGTCCTACGGGAACCAAAACTTCCAGGGCACCCATCCTGGAGCCAACCCGGCTGTGGTGGATCCTCTTAGGCAAATGCAACAAAGGCCTAGTGGTTACGTTCACCAGCAGGCTCCAGGCTACGCACACAATATGCAGAACACGCAGAGGTCAGTATTGTCACGCAAGGGAGGCTACTGCTTTGTTAGCGGTTGGTAGCTCTTAAAAGTCCAATGGTTGACATTCTCATTTCTCTGAAGATTATAATCCTTGATTTCATGCTAACTTTATGTCTTCCTCCTGCCCTGTAAACCTCAGGTTTGCCCACCAACAAATTCAGCAGAATCCCATCATGCACGGTCTCAGTCACATGGGAGGCCAGGGCGTCCATCCAGGCATGAGGCCAAATCCGATGCTGACAGAACAGCAGCAGCAGCAGCAGCAGCAGCAACAGGCAGCACAGCAACAGCAGCAGTACCTCAGACAACACGCACTCAGAGTACGTCACTCGATCATTAGTTTATTCAGTCGAGCCAGGTTTTGGATGAGTCTATTTATTTTCACGGGTAACTTGCAAAGCGAAAAGGAGGCTGTTTGTGTGCGCTACTATTTAAGTTGTGTAAACCTGAAGCTACACAGTGCTTTACTAAAAGGTTCACAAAGAAAGTCTGTACCTCAAACACCAACCAGTTTTTCTTTTCTATGTTTTTACAACAGCAACAGCAGGCACAACAACAGCAACAGCAACAACAGCAGCAGCAGCAACAACAGCAGCAGCAGCAGCAGCAGCAACAGCAGCAGCAGCAACAACAACAACAACAACAACAACAACAACAGCAGCAGCAGCAGGTTCCTCCTCAACAGCAGGTTCCTCCTCAACAGCAAGTTCAACAACAACAGCAACAACAACAACAACAGCAGCAGCAGGTTTCGGGGGTTCCACCACCAGGTCAGCAGCAGAACCAGGGCCTGGGCATGCAGCCACTGCCCCCCCAGCAACCCATGGTAGGTCCAATCCATGCGACGGGGACGTTGTTAGTAGGACGATAGTGTAAGGAGACTCGTTTTAGCAAACATTTTTAGTAGAAGTGTCCTTAACAGAATGTTTTACTACACAGTCTGTGGTTGATTTGTGTGTGTTATTGTTGATATGTTAATTTCTGCTTTACATTCAAATACAAATAGAAGCTAGTAGTTTTGCAAATAATTTATTTTAGCGTTTAAATCTACTTGCAGAGACTTGAACGCTAAAGAAAAATGCACAGTTAGATGTTTTTTTTTTTTTGTCAATTACATTCACCGTAAGCTTCTTATTGGTGCATTCAAGACACTCTGACCACCAAAAATGAAACGGCTACTTTTAAAAAAACAAATAATGGAAGATAAATAGCTTTTAAATTGTTTTTTGGTAGCCAACTCTGAAAATTGTGGGCAGTGTTGCCTCCTTAAATGCTCCATTAGAAGTTTGATGTGAACTCTGCTAGTTAATTCTGAAAGTTAATAATAATATGCTGAATTGATTCGTGAATCAATGGTCGTCTTTATTATCAGGAATCAATCTTAAACCTGAGTAGGCATATTGCTAAATGATTGGTAGTAATGTCACATATGCAACTAACTAGTTGGTAATGGGATAAAATATCATAAATTGCTAAAGTAACAATGTGTGTATCTGTGTTTTAGTTCCCTCGACAGGGAATGCAGCAGACTCAACAGCAGCAGCAGACTGCAGCTCTGGTCCGACAGCTGCAACAGCAACTTTCAAGTGAGTCAGATACTTTCAAGATGTGTTGTCATCCTTTCCATCTCTTTTATTGATGAATAACAGAATGTTTATAACAAAATGTTCCCTCTCTTTTCAGATACACAACCAGGACAGGGCACCAACTCGTATTACTGAGCGTGCTCGTTCATAGTACGGTGTGAAGAATAGGCTCGGCTCTGTAGAGTGACGGATACGTGTGTCCAGTCCCGTGGAGGCTGTTAAAGGCACAAAGGACCACCAAACCGATGAACCAAATCCCATCTCGATCAGAAAATATCTTGACTTCAGTCGTGTAATTATGGATGATCAAAGGAGGGATCCTGCTCGGAAGTTAACGGATAATGGTTAATAATGGAAAAGTCTATGTAAAAAAAGTACCAGAAATTATACGAATAATGCAATTTTTTATTTTATTTCAATTTGTACAATTTTTTCAGTTTCGTGTATTTCTCATTAAAAAAAATCATGTCAGTTTTATGTCTTGTCCTTGTGTTGGCTGCCTGTATTTAAACAACTTAATGAAATCTTTCATGAAAAGGTGATGGAAAGAATTCTTATATCCCCAAACATCGGCTTTTCCTAATGCTAAATTATAGTAGCTTGACTTGACATGGTAAGAGAAGCACAGGTTTAAAAATAACATTGGTTGCTCTGTAAGCCAGCATGCACCGGATCAGGACCCCGAAAATGAGGAAGTGAAATCGAATTCAGTCATTCATTTTATTTACATTTTTGTTTTTCCGACTGCGACATTTTAAAATGTCGGCCATGAAAAAAGCCTGTTGGGAGTTGGACGACTTCTACTTTCAGCATGAGTATTAATGATAAGTGAACAACATCTGCAACATTACTGCAATGACTAAGACATCATTTCCTCATATCGAGTTTGCTGTCTTGGTTTTCTTAGGTTTTTGTTTATCTAAATTCTGACTTTCCAAGCGACTAAAAAGCACTCCGGAGTCCGATCCTAGCGCTCTGCCTTCAAAGGGACAGTCCATTCCCCGATACCTCGGCAGGAAATTCACATCTGCCCAGCTCCTCTCGCCTGGCCGCACCCCGAGTCTGGACAGCAGCTTGTTAGAAATCCCCGGCACTATTGGCTGGAGGAGTGTGCCATAAATCCTCAGGCATTCGAGGGAGACATGGATGATGGTGTCTAGCCAGCGCTGGTCTTCACTGTCCCTCCTGTCCAGCTTCCAAGGTGCGTGGCGCTGAACAAACCCGTTGGTCTTCCTCACACAGGCAGCGATGGCCTCCAGAGCTTTGTACACATGCGTGCTCTCGTAGTGCTGCTCCACCACGGCCGGGAGGTTTCTTACAGCATCCAACATGTGGTAGTCCTCGACCACGGCCCTGCCACCCTGTTCACTTGGGAAGGACTGAGGGCAGAAAGACGGGTAGACCTGAACTGGGTTAAGAGCTGGAGCTGTGCAGCGGTTCAGCAGACCGCCCAGAGAGTCGGCGAGCTCTGCGTTGAGCAGCTTGATAACTTTGTTGTCTGTGTAATCGCAGTCCGAGTCCGGAACTCCCTGACGCAGAAGAAAGTACCTCATGCCATCAGTTGTGAACATCTGTGAGCGTTCAAGAGGATCCACCACATTACCCAAACTTTTGGACATCTTCTTTCCCCCTACTGTCCAGTGAGAGTGCACATATATCGTCTGTGGCAGCGGCAGTCCAGCCCCGAGAAGAAAAGCTGGCCAGTAGATGGTATGAAATTTTAAGATGTCCTTTCCAACAACGTGGTGCGCCATGTTCCACCATTGGTCGTGTTTATCTGGATAGCCAGCTACTGTGAGGTAGTTCACCAGTGCATCTAACCACACGTAGATGGTCTGTTCAGCATCCCCTGGGACTGGGATGCCCCACTGGAGGCGGCTTCTCTGGCGGGAGACCGAGAGGTCAGGAAGGTCCTCCTGCAGCCACTGGAGGACGGCATGGTAGAAACGCTCGGGCTGAACGGACCCGGGATTTCCTCTGAGCCAGTCGAGCAGCTGAGACCGAAACGCAGACAAACGGAACATGTAGTTCTCCTCTTTCATCCACTCCACCTGAAGAAAAGAGGAGATTTGATTGAAGTCATGTTGACGGAGTAGAACTGCGATTTTATTTCTGCTTACTTTCTTGCCAAGAGTTAGATGAGATGATCAAAACCATGTTAATGTGTGAAATTTAGAAGTGCTGGTTAGCAGATTTTTAAGCTTTGGATAGAGCCAGAGTAGTTTGTACTACTTTCATAAAGGTTAGGCACTTTAGAGACAGATTAAAAACAATAATGTTCAAAATTGTTTCATCAAAGTCTGAGATAGTTTCACTCGCTAAAAACAATTTTACTTCTACATTTGCCACAATGCAACCTAATGGCATGTTTTTGTTAGATCCTCCCTGCCTGGTAAAGCCCCATTACTTTCCAACCCCATACCCCCATTCTCTTTCACGTAACAAGTGATATAAGCCCGACAACAGAACAAAATGTGTGCTGCACTAAAATCACACCTATGCCATCATCTCAATTCCACTCCGATTACCTTGTGGCCACTCTCCAGTGATACTTTGATCTCCTTCCCTGAAGAGTCCAAAGCATCGGCCAACTGCGACGCCGTGAGGAAGCTTTCATCTTGGGTGGAGTACCAGCCTTCATAGCTCCCCTTATAGATGAGCCCTTTGTCACAGAGCACTGACCAGAAATGCTTCACGGCCTGTCGGTGTCTGTGCTCAGTGGTTCTTATGTAGTCTGTATACGATATGTTGCAGCTGTCGAACAGATGTTTGAATCTCTCCGACACATCCGTGCAGAAGGTCAAGGGATCTTTTCCGGCAGCTTCGGCAGCTTGTTGGATTTTCAAGCCATGTTCATCTGTGCCTGAAACGCAAAATAATAGGTTGTATTATTCAAATTATTTGCTTGATGCCTAATTGTTTAGTCTATGATAGGTGAAGAAAATGTGAAAAAAATGCCCATCCATGTTTCCCAGGCCCCAAGATGACATGTTAGATATTGAAAATACTGAAATTTGAGAGGCTGGAACCAGCGAATGTTTGATGGCATGATTCAATAATTATTAAAAGTTGCATCTCTACTGTCTTCACTTCTATTAATAGGAATGACATAAATTATTTTCTGTGCACAAATTTCTACAAAAAACAGTTCCTAGTGGACATCACATGCAGTAACGGTAAAAGGACATGCATATTTTAGGTCGATGGAGGATTTACCTGTTGCAAACTTTGAGTTGAAACCCTGCAGAAGCTTGTACCTGTGTAAGCAGTCAGCTATCACGGCTGAATACAGGTGTCCCAAATGAGGAGAAGCGTTGACATAGAAGATGGGAGTAGTTATGTAGTAACTCTTGTCGTCTTCGCAGGAATGGGTGCTCGAGTATCTCAACACAGCGATCCTCTGCTGCCTCGATAGAGCTGTTAATGGTGAGAAAAATGGGCTTTGTTGCAGTCTGTGAACAGACTTACAGCTTCTGCTGAGAAGCAGAAGAGGGGTCCTCATCATTGGATAGCAGGCGATGCCCACATGAAGACAACCAAACGACAAAAAAAATATATATGTGGAGAAAAACTATTACTATTGGAAAATATACGAGCAAATCTTAGAGTAGCCCCGGTAAATGTTACTTATTAAATTGGCTTTTTCCCCTAAAACCAGCAGCACGTGAGTTTTGCTCGCTTGTCAAGGTTAGCTCTTCTTCCGGTTTCTATCAACAACAACCACGGCTCTGGTCCAATCAAAACGCTGCATAGTGCGTGACGAACACCAACCACCAATCAGATTGCTTACAGCTTCCTCGATGTCGGGCAACGACGGCGAAGGTAAGGCTTTTTACTCGCTGTGTGTTTAAGTGGCAGTTAAATAGTGTATTACACTTTACTAAATCTAAATTAAATTAGAGATGTTGTCAGTTATATATTACTTGTTATATCTAGCCTGCTAAACGATGGTTTCAACATGGTCGCTGTAGAGCGTGTCAGCCCATCATGTGACATGGGGTGCCTGTTGTTCGACTGAGAAGTTTCCGAGAGCTTCAGCTGTCATTATAGAAGTTCTGTTATTCAGCCAAAGCACGTGTAGAAACGTGATCGTTGTGTTTCAGATGGAAGTGAACCGTGTGGACTTCTACATCGGTCTCTCTCTGGCTGTGAGCTCCAGCGCTTTCATCGGTACGAGTTTCATCCTGAAGAAGAAAGGCCTGCTGCGATTGGCCAGCAAAGGTTCAATGCGAGCAGGTACATTCACTGAAAGCCTTATTATATTATAATAATAATAATAATAATAATAACACAAAACTGACTTCCGGTCAGCTCAAGTTAGTTTGAAGTATAGAAGTGTCATGATCAAAAGTAGAAGTAGGCCGACTCATTGCTGCAGAACTGCCCATGCCTGTTATATGAGCAAATAGTGCTGCAATTGACGATTATTTTAATTATTGAAGCATCTGTTGATTACATTGTTTATTTCCAATCAACAAACAATCACATAACAAAAAAAGCAAGTATGAAATAATTACTTTTAGAAGACAATTTTCCTTATGTAATTAAAATTACACGATTAATACATTTTCAAAATAGTTGCCAATTAGTTGTATGTAAATTGGATGGATGGTTGGTGGGACTAATCATTGCTCAATGTTGATGTATTACTGATGTATTACTTTGTAAACAACAAAATAGCTGGAGCCTATTTCAACTACTTTATGTTTTGTTGCATAGTTTAGTCCACATATTTTGTAAGATGGTCAAATGTTTATCTCCAAAGTAACTACTGTAGCTGCCATATCAATGTAAGAGTAAAACAGATGCAATATTAATATATAGTACGAGTGTAAAGTAGCATAAAATGGTAATAAAGTTTTTTATTTTTAACCTCGTTATAGATATCACTAGGAAGGAATGTATGTCTTGATGGACACGTGACTATTAGAATAATATCATAGGAGATGTAAACTTTATAAATATTTAAGGCCAATAACTCTTAACAGGACTTTTTTTTAGGATTAATGGAGTTTTGGTAAGAAGTGCGTTCTTGGTGAAATAAGCTAATGACCCTCCAATGTAACCTGTAACCGTTACAAAGGCATCAATGCATCATGTCTGCATCTCACAGGTCAGGGGGGGTATGCTTACCTGAAGGAATGGCTGTGGTGGGCAGGACTGATTTCAAGTAAGTAAATGATTTATAGACTTAGTTCCGCAAATGGGTGACATGGTCAGCTGCTTTATTTTTTTTTAATTTTTAACTTGGTGAAACTGCTTACCAGCCATGCCCAGAAACACTCGGCTCTTTGTTCCTCAAAGACGAAAAATGAGGTTCTTGTGGGTTTGGTATTTTCACTGGTCACGTTGCAGTTGATGCAGCACCCACACCATATCTCTTAAGTGCACATTTGCACATGTGGGTTAGAAGAGAATAATTGTTCAACCATTAAACATCTGTACCAGCCATGAATTTGCGCACGCACACTGATGGTCGTGTTTGTATTCTAGTGGGAACTGGAGAGGCCGCCAACTTTGCTGCATATGCATTTGCGCCGGCCACACTGGTGACTCCTCTTGGAGCGTTGAGTGTACTTGTAAGGTAACTGTCTTTTTCTTCAAGGTTTATTTTGCAGTTTTATGTTATCAAAATCAAGACTTATCAGATATTCACTCACCGAGTGTGATTCCGATACTTCTAGCACTCCCAAAACCTACTTACAATGCTTACTTACTGAAGCATGTACGTCTGGTGATATTCTTTATTTTTCCTTATTGTCAACAAATCCTATGAGAAAACACAAACCAACAATTAATTAATCCTGCTAAAAATCATTGTACGTGTGGACAAAGCCTAGCGTAGCATAGTTTTTTTTCAGACTACTTCATTACACGGGGTCTGAAAGAGGTGAAAGTGTCCAATAATGAATTTCCTTTCAATTAACTTTGAGCGACTTGTTTTGTTTGTGAAGATTTACCTCCACTAAGAATGAATTGACTATTTGCTGGAAGCTACAGATGGAGAAGTCAGAAATTCTTGAGTTGCAAAATATTGAATTGTTGGTTTTTCAGAGAATTGATGACAATAATAAAAAAATATATATAGAATATCACCAGAATTCTCCTTTTAAGGATATAAAAGCAAAATGTGTCACTCGCTGTCTGCATAATTTGTTTTTCCTTCCAGTGCGGTGCTCTCGTCTTACTTCCTGAATGAGAGGCTGAATGTGCATGGGAAGATTGGCTGTTTGCTGTGCGTCTTGGGCTCCACAGTGATGGTGATTCATGCGCCGCAGGAAGAGGAGGTGGCTTCCCTCAGTGCCATGGCTGAGAAGCTCAGAGACCCAGGTAGGACCAGTGTGATCGCATTAACCATGCTGTGGAAACTGAATCCTAGATGAGGGTTGGATGGATTTTTCAGGGTACTAACTCATTCTTGAATGCTCCCACTAGGTTTCATTGCATTTGCTGTGTGCATTGTTGGAAGCAGCCTGGTTCTTATCTTTGCTGTGGCTCCGCGGTTCGGACAGAGGAATGTGCTGGTCTACATCCTGATCTGCTCTGTGATTGGCTCCCTGTCTGTGTCTTGTGTCAAGGGCCTGGGCATTGGCATTAAGGAGCTGTTTGCTGGGACAGCAGTGCTGAAGGAGCCCCTGTTCTGGTCCTTAGTCCTCTGCCTGGTCGTCTGCATCAGCGTTCAACTCAATTACCTGAACAAAGCCCTCGACATCTTCAACACCTCCTTAGTCACTCCCATCTACTACGTCTTCTTCACCACCTCCGTCATGGCCTGTTCAGCCATTCTCTTCAAGGAATGGTTGCGTATGACCATTGACGGAGCAGTAGGAACAATTAGCGGGTTCCTCACCATCATTTTGGGGATCTTCCTCCTCCACGCCTTCAAGGACATTACATTTCGCTGTGATTCCCTCCCACTCTACTTGAGGAAGGGTCCTGAGGGCTTTCCATGGGGGCACAGGCCTTATGTGGCACTTCCCAGCCACGAAACCCAAGCAGAGGATGACAATAAATTGCCCAGAGAAGGAAGCTCAAAGGGGGGCTGGGGAACGCACCAGAGAACTCCTTGAGGAGGACCAATAGTCTCATCACTGCTGAGAGAATTGTCTTTTTGCAAATCTGAAGCTTTACTGCACATCCCAGCCTTACAATGTGACAAGTAAGGTTAATTTCAAGTGTCTTACACAATGCAGTATGCACTGGATGAACAAAGTAGCCTAAAGTGAGCATCAACACACTGGATTTAATATTAAATTTACATTCTTAGTTAAACACGATGGTACATCTTCAGTTTAAAAAAACAGGACAATTGTTTTGCTTGTTGCACTTGTGTGTATTTTTTTTATACAGTATTTTAAGTTTAATTTAAGGTTGAATATTATCCTGCCTAAACCAGATTGTGCCTTCAATTACTGAAAACAATAACCTTATTCATAGGTTTGCACTTTTAACCTCAGCATACATGGTGATGTACGATTGTATGACTTAAGACCGATGTAAAGGCAAACTAATGATTTGCCCTGAATGCATTTCAATCATTTTGTTTTTGAACACGTTTGAATAATTCCTCTTTTGAGTTACTGTAATACCTCAGTATTGTATACAAACCGCACCAAAGAATGTCCTTCCCCTGTGTGGATTAACTCCCAACATGTGCCAAGCTGTAACATATCTCTGGTGTAACTGAACTTTTATGTGTGTATGATTAAAATTTAAATACATTACTTGACTACACTTGGAAGTATTTGGCATAATGTTTATTGCATATGTACAGTCCAAAACCTTGCACCTCTTCGGTCAAGACATCCGTTAATTCTCTTAAATTAGCTGTGTGTGGGTTGAAGACCTCGTGGCTGTCAAAAACAGCTGGCTGACGCTGAATGTCCAGGATGCATCCCTCTCTCTGCAGTCTCCCACACATTCAAGCTCAGTTTTGACAAACAAAAAAAAAAGACTGTTATTAACAGACCACTATCTTAAGCGTTTCGCAACACTCCTGTCCTGCTAAGTGGAGAACTAATAAAACCCCACTCTTCTGCATCCATACATTGTGTTTATCTGAGGCACTTTGTTTTAAAAGTAACACTTGATGCTGTTCCTTTTTCCCCTAGTTGAACAGACGGTCCGTTGCAGACAGCTGTGGCCGGACAAAACGGCCTCGTCATGGAGCGCGAGCCGTGTGCGCGTGTGTCTCCTCAGTCCTTTTCAGTGACAGTGTTTTTTCATTCTGACATGGTCTCGGAGAAGGAGGCCTTGCCCTTCTGAGTCTGTTCCAGTCGGTTCAGGATGAACTGGCTGGTGTCGATAAATCGCTCCACACAGTTAACGAAGCACATGTCGGTCCTCGAGTCCAGCTTAGGTGCGGGTTTATCCATACATTTATCCTGGAGACAGAGACAAAGTCATTCAGGTGAGGTGCAACGGATGACACAAGGTATATTACGTAGTAGGCTACATCCCATTTAAAAAAGGAATGTTATACTATTAACGTTACAGCAAGTACTGGTTATCAGTCTGTTACCCCAGCACTATATTTCTTTAAGCTACTTTAATTATAAACAGACGGGGAAGTTTTTAGATAGATAATTAGTTATTTTATTAATCCTGCAAGGGGATTTTCTTTCGCTACATCAGCAATTATGTTACAGGTAAATGAAATAACAGAGTAAATATCAAATGCACAATATAGACAATGAAATATAATAATATATCATTAACTACTTTATACTCGTACAGCAGCAGGTTGCGCCCTCATGTTCGTGATCTCACAAATGTCTACTTTCAGTCAGGTGTGATTAAATGATAACATGTATGTTTCCACGGAGGAAACAAACATTTACATCCACATCTTCTACACTCTTCTCCTCGAGGCTAACGTCAGCCATAGCAGGCCCGGGGTATTACTGTCCATAAGTCTGCAGAAATATTAAGATTTAAAGGCTTGCTTTGCAAACGCAGCGTTCCAGACAGACAGAGTATCCCCAACTGTTGTGTAATTCTCGCTGTTAGCTCTAGCTTCATATAGATATGTAACAAAAGTGAACTGCAGAGCTGCATTGCTAGCGTGAAGCTGAACTTACCCAGCAAACCTCAGTCATTTGATGCACCAGCTGCTGAAATCTTTGTTTTTGAGACTCGATTTCGATGAACTGCTGAAGCTGGGGGTCGGCTGACGCTGCCTGGCCGTTCATATTTTGCAAAAAAAAAGCGGTCGTTACAGCAATATTGTTCTGATTATGGAAGCCTTATGGCTCTGATGCTGACCTTCACGTGTATGTGTGGACGACAGGAAGCAGGAAGTAGTTCAACCAATCACAGAGCGCGTTCTTCTGACGCGACTGGCGTCATCACAGTATTATCATTATTACTAATAGTAGTAGATTGATTACATATTATTTCATTTAAAAAAATAAAGCTAATTCCAATTCATGCAAAAGTATTGTTACATCAAAAACAACAGGTTTATCAGATGTTTTCACATTTTTACGTTGTTATGTTCATTTCACAGGATGTTTCAGTCATTTCAAAGCCTGGCATACTTGGCTTTTATTTGTGCAATAGATATGTTCTCACAACGCTTTTGTTTCCACAAGCAAAGGTGTTTACATTTAACAATGATTCCACAGAATACAATACACAGGATTCAATAAAGATAACCGTCAATAAAATATACACATTTCAAATGCTACCCTGCAGGACTATACTTCTAGTAATGTAATAGGAAGGCTATTCTAATCGACGAGTTACAGTGGCATTCATATTACGTATATTCACATTACAGAGGACAGCAGTGTGGCTGCGCAGCCCCATGTTCAAGTTGCTGCGTTGACTTTCCAGGGACGGATGGAGATGCTGCTCTGTGGGTACCAGAGAGAAGTCTCAGTGTGTGTTGAGATTATTTTGAGATCTACTGGAGCTCGTACAGCGAATCCTGAACAGTCAGCGCCAGCTCCTGAAAGGTGGGTCTCTCATCTGCTTTCTGAAAACGAAACAAAAAGAAGCTGTGAGGTTGCTGTTGCTGTCCACACAATGTTTTCGTCCTCTCTCATCACTCTGTACGATTGTCATGACCTCTACTGAGGCCCACAGCTCAATACTAAATTCACTTACTTCCAGCCAGCAGCTTGTCATGATGCTGTAGACCTTTTCATTGGCCAGCTGGGGGCGGTAGAGGCGCAGGCCCCGGGACACCTGATCCACTATTTCCGTGTTGTTAAGGCGCTCATACGGAAGCCGTCCCAAAGTGTACACCTCCCACAGAAGAACCCCTAAATATTTATAGAAGTTATGATGCTTTAATGCAGATGTTAATTCCTGACCATAAATGCAGTGGGGAATTGAAAAACACAGTCTACTCACCATATGCCCATATGTCTGACTTGCTGCTGAATTTGCAGTAGAGGAGGACCTCAGGAGGTGACCAGCGAACAGGAAACTTGGAACCTGCTGAGCTTGTGTACTCATCATCTAAGACATACCTAAGGCAGTGATTGGAGAAGTATTCAGATCCTTTACTTTAAATGTGGAAGTACAAACACCATCGTGTAAAAATACTCCATGCACGAAAACAAAATCTGCATCAGAAAAAAAGCAAAAGTACAGAAGGATTGTCAACTCGATGTACTGAAAGTATCACAAGTTAAAGTACTCATTGCGAAGAAGAAATGGCCCCTGTGAGAAGTATTACTTATGTATTCATTTATATGTAGCATTTCACTGCTGTAGTTGGTTGAGATGGAGCTAATTTTAACTTTATTTACTGTTTAAGATGATCTTCTCTTTGCATGTAAAATCTTAATAAACAAAGTAACTAGTAACTAAAACTGTAAAATAAATGTAGTGGAGTCAAATTATAAGATTCAAATATAAATACTCAAGTATAGCATCTTTAATTCTACTTAACTACAGTACTCGACTTGCCTTCCATCACTGACCTGAGAGTAGAGCAAGATATTTCAGTTTCTTTGTCAGGCACCAATGTCATTGTGTCCTGTAATTCGTGCCAAGTATTTTACCTTGAAAGTCCGAAGTCAGTCACTTTGACGGAGCCATTCCCATCTACTAAACAGTTCCTGGCAGCCTGAGGACAAAACAAACAACACGCTTGATTCAAGTGTAATCATTAAACATTTACTGTTATCTTCAAATGCCTAATCCCAGCACAACAGAATGATCTAGAGTTGGACACACTACAGTAGATCTATGTCTCTAACCAGGTCTCTGTGGATGTACTGCTGTGACTCAAGATAGGCCATGCCCTCGGAGACGTCTTTACACATCTCCAGGAGCTGGACAGTCGTTGGGTGCTGCGTCAGGCCTTCCCTGAGGTACGTCAGCAGGCAGCCATTGGAAAGGTACTCAGTCACTATATAAATGGGTCTCTGTTTGGTGCACACGCCGTACAGCTGGACCAGGTTTTCATGGCGAAGCTTCCTGGTTTAAGCAAAAGCAGAAGGAAGTTAAGTATTATGTGTTGGGTTTTCTCACAGAAGTTATATAAACCACACTTCCCAGTGTGACACATGAGTTTTATGAGTCTCACGCACAAAATCATCACTGTCATTTCAACTCTAGTCAGTTCAAGTGTAGCAGCTTATTGACCAAAAAGAAAGGGTCAGTTCAGCCCAAATTCAGACTCATTTAGTTTTGCTTACATCATGATTTTGGCTTCTTCTATGAAATCGTCTTCAGACATGGATCCCTCTTTAATCATCTTAATGGCAACGTCATGCTGGCCCTGCCACTTTCCATACTTCACCACGCCAAACTGACCACTGCCCAGCTCCTTGATGAAGGTGAGGAGACGGGGGTCAATCTCCCACACACCTGGAGCAAAATCAGAATGGAGAAGCACTTTCATACTTGTAGCAGAGTTAGATGAGAAGACGGACACCACTATCATGTTCCTATGAAGTTATGGCCAACAGTTGCTTATCTTAGCATAAAGTCTGGAAGCAGGGGGAAACAGCGAGTCTAACTGTTTCCAAAGGCAACAAACGAGCACCTTCAAAGCTCACTAATTAACACAATATATTATTTTTGTTTAATCAATGCAAAAAGTGAATTGTCACATTGTGGTTTTTGCTGGAGGTTTTGCTATTTTCTGGATTCTCAACTGATTGCTCGGCAACATCATGGTGATGTTACTGCTCCTGGCCAGGAAATAGTCCTGCAAATAACCCCCTATAAAACCAAGTTTCTTTGTATGCATTAAGCAAACAAGATACAACATGTTAATTGTAAGCTTTAGAGGTGCAAATAGGCACAAAAGCGAATGAGCTTTATTGCTTTTACTTTTAACTAATGGTGCTGTCAACAAATGATCATTTTGTTAGTACATCAGCAATAGAGAGTGGAGGTTTATAAATTGCTCACACAGAGCCATTTCTAATCAGGGACCAGAGGTTAATCACCAAACATGATGAACAAACAAGAGAATATATTAATAATGTATATTGTTATAGTCATACTCTTACCATAGCCAAGCCCTACTGTTGATGGAGGCCGTGCCCGGTTCGATACGATGTATTTCAGCCTGCTAACCATACCTAGTGAGGGAGATAACAAAACCTGTCAGGTCATCATTTTTGATGCACAGACTCTTGATTGATTCCATTTTTTTAATATTGTGTTTGTGTGATTGTGTTGCTTTCCCCCTGTTGAGTCATTTCCTTTTCCCCGCAGTGAAAACAACATTTCATTGTATATTATTCTTTTACAAATATCCAATACTTTAAAACATTGCTTCATCTATGTTCACAGTTACTGTATCAACCTGCTGCATTGTGCTGATGGTAGTTTATGAGTTCTGGGATGGTGCCGAAATTATGCTTCTCTGCCAGGTAAAACTGTCCCTGTGTTGTGGTACAGATGTTATAATGTTTGCAGCTTCCACCAGTTTCCCTGTTGAGAGAAAAGGAAGAGTCACTTTAGCCGCAGGTTTTCATCGATCATTTCTCATGTATGCATAAGATCTTCTTCGCCTTATCCACAACTGTCTCACAGAGCGAAGAAAAAGTGCTGCAGGCAGTTTGGTCCAGGTTTTGCATGAATAATTTACATCTCCCTCCCTCTGTGGCCCTCTGTTTCCGCTTTCATTACAAACAGTTCTTCTTTTGATACGTTCACACATGACTGGAACCAGTCGATGCAGTGTAACACCACTGAGCTTACTCACCCGCCAACCCTACTGAACAAAGACACGGTGTATTTCCCGGCCTTGCTGGAGTCCCGTATCAGGAAGCCTCCGTCTTTATTCTGGGAAACAACACACAAATTCAAATCAAAAAAGTTGAATCAAGCTAAGTTCTACTAATTTGTAGGTGCACAAACATATCAAAGCTGTCTTCTGTATCAGTGTGTATGTCAATGAGTTTACCTCAGTCTTTAACAGCTGTTCTGACTGGCTACGGTTCATGTTCTTGGAATACCAGCTGTGAAAATGAATGTGAACCTTTGTTGAATTTGTTTTTTGCAACATTTATTGCTTCAGCAATCAAAAATACATTAATGTGCAGACAGAAAACTTTACCAAGTGTTAATGCGCTGCCATGATAATTATAAATGAACGATGACATGAGAAACAGTACAATAGTGCCCGTACTCACTCAAATTTTTCTAGCCCATTTGTGGCTTCCACAACATAATTACAAGGTATATATCCTTCCTTTCTGCAACAGAAAACAAAAATGCATTGTATGTAGTAATAACGTGCAAATGTGCAGCGCTTCAGAGTCCAGCTCTGAAGCGCTCACAAACACCAGAACTTTTTTTTTTGTGCCATTGTTTTAAGTAATTTCACAAGCTTCTCGCGTTAACGTTTTCTCACCCAGATTTGTCTCTGGCTTTCCACCAGTTCTGATCAGACATCTCCAGGATGGTGTACTCTTCATCCTTCCTCAGCTCCAAATCTAGGGGTGTCATGGATGTGTAATCATACTCTGCTATGACAGTCATGCCCACGGAGGGTGAAGGTGCCTCAGGGGGCTGTGGAGGTAAAGGCCGAACAGACTTCTCCTGGAAAAACACAGGATTAGTGGATGTGTTATTAGAATCGACTGTGTGTAATCAGTGAATAGTATTCGAAAGGGACTGCGCGTCTACCTCTGTTGGGGTGGGAGGAAGGGGTTTCCTGGATCCCCTTCGCCGAGATGGTTTGGATGTAAAGCCTATTAATGATATCATTTTATACATGAATGGAATGATTCGGTAAAAGTTCAAGTTTAGTGTTGCCGATATCAAACCACAGATAATCCCAATCTCACCGTTCTTACTATCCAGCACCTTGCAACCCATAGCCTGTTTAACTTCCTGCTGGCAGCACAGCCACACCCCATCCGCCCAGAAACAAGGATGGTACTTCTGCATGAGATCCTTGTTGAAGCGCACCACTGTGCACAAGCACCGACATAGACACAGGACATTTACATTAAATCAACATTTTGATTTGCATGTGCACCCAGCTCTTCTGTGGCGCAGGCACTGGGCGGTGCTAAGACATTGTCTGACATTGCATGTACTGCATGAAACACTGTGTCTGACAAGACACGTATACAACATTCGTACATTTCTATGCATATACTAACTTTCTTTCAGCTTCTTTATCCACTGAGCCCGGGCATCTTCGGTCTTTGCAAAGATGTACAGCGGCCCCTCGTCGTAAACGATCTGTGGCAAGAATGAAAAAGAAAACACTCATCACCTGTTTTTTTTTGTCAAAGTTGTCTATCAATTCAAGACATTGGGTGATCTTCTATTTCTTAAGTTACTAGCTCAGTTAATACATGTGACACCAGAATATACTGCGATAAGTGTCACAAAAGCTGAAGGAAAATTATACAAATGCTAACGTGCGATAATATTCACTGCAGCTTTATGGCGAATGCCAGCCAGACACCTTGTTCATGCCACCTTGACGTGTGAGTTAACATGTGTGTAATGGCAACACCTGCACAGTCACTGAAAGCCCCCGGTTCATCTGAGTGTGAGAGATGGTTTCACTTCTTAACAATGGCCTTTCACATTTTTAACTATTTCTGTCTGCCAAGGAGAAACCTTGGTGTTGTGGTGTGTGTCTCCATGCGCAGCTTCTACATAGCTTTTGACTAAAGAAATATAGCCTGTGCTTCATTATTATACCACAGTGACTGAACATAGAAAAGTCTTGTTAACACTCTCCATCTCCAAAAGAAAAACTAGCATACGAGTGAAAGCAAAGACGTTATCCTGATTTTAGGCCAGTGAGAATGTGACGTGGCTGCACTTTCACACATTGATGCAGCTTCGTCTAAAGGGTCCCTGTCTGTTAAAGAAATAAATCGACAGACATGTCTACCTGGAAAGCATACATGCGCTCTTGCGGAGAATTGGGCTCCGGCTGGACTGTCTCCACACATTTGATCTTCTCGAGGTCAACTGATCCTTTGAAACCTTTTCGCTTCTGCTTACCAGATGAGGAAACAGTCAGGTAACCAACAGACACATGTGATGCTATTGCAATGAAGTTTTTCTGTAGGTCCATATACGTACCCCTTTGTCAGAATCAAAATCATAGTAGGCTATTTTTTCCTGGGTGAGAACAAACCATCTCTCCTTGTAGTTCAAAGGGGAGGTCTTCTTCTTCTGCTGCGATCGTTTAATGAAGATTTCTTCCAGTATATTGTCTGACATGATTCAGTCAGCATTAATCTACATGGGAACAGAGAATAGGGAATAATGTAAAGCATAACAGCAGCAAAACACCCAACTGTTTCCTTTGTGGCAGAGCAACGCTGAACGGCACATTCGCTCATCGATTCAGGCAGTAGTGGCTTTTCTGAGAGCTGTGACTGACTCCCGCAATAGCTTAGCTTAGCACTATAAGTCAGCCTTCTGGGTTATGTTGCACTTACACTTCAGTGTTTTCAATGACTTTGAACAGAATTGAAGTCAATAGTCATAATAGAAGTCATTGTGTCTGAGCAATGGCACTTATGTGGAAGGAGATGAAGAGACGAGCAGCATGAATGCGAGCGCATATCAGCGTGTGATTAGCTGTAGTTTGCATAAGCCCTGCTTTTCCTGCCAGAGACATCCTTTTCAATTACAAAAGTCCCCCATGTGTCACATGTGGTTCCCTCGGCTACTGTATCTTGGTCAACATCAAATTGCGTGAGGAGATTTTAGATAAGAATTTCCACCAAAATCCCTTGTCTACTCCTCCCAATATGATCGGTTGTTTTTTCATCTAACAAACACTGCCAAAAACACATATAATTCTAAAATACTAGAAAAGTACGCAGTGCACTAATGGTAGAGAGTCATAGTGCATTATTGCAAGGTAAATCGTGGATCAGATGCTCAAACTCACCCTTTGGTACACAGCTGAACTACTAATTGTCTCTGTCAGATGTGTTTGCACTTCAGCTCAGCCTATTTTCAGCTTGTGAGCACTTCCTTCTATCATCTGAACTGTAACTTTAACACCACCAGAAGCTTCTGTCACTTCTGTGTGTGTGTGTGTGTGTGTGTGTGAGTATGACATTTCTTCACACTAGAATGACAATACTTATCAGTTTTGTTCGTGCTGTCATAAACCAACAGCAGTGTTCCCCATTCTGTGAAACATTGTTTACTCATTCCTCATTCTTCGCCGCCTTGTGTTTTCTCACATCACTATGTTGAGTATAGAGGTCAGCATACTCTGATAGGGGATCATCAACACACCGATGTAGCATCCCTTCTCTCTTTCTCTCTGATCGAGTGGAGCCAGTCGACTGAAACGCTTCACTGTATCATGGCCACCAGAAGGAGATTTATTTGTGTGTCTTTTTTGAGGGGAGTTAACGCACGGTGTCTGACACAGACGGACCGATAGGGAAGTTGCATCACTGTTGAACTGCAACATGAAGGGAGAAGAAACCCAGAGCCCTGCAGCACTCCAACCTGACATTATCTATCTCATTCTCTCAAATGTATCATTCGCACATTTAAAGATGTATGTTTCACCTGTGATGTGTGCTGGTAACTCACCACTTCATTTACATTTACAACTATGTACAATACTCACTTTTTTTCTTTCTGTTTCTGCACAGCACAACAACTTTTCTCACTTTCTAACACTCATTTTCTCAGTTGCTTGAGTGTTTATAAGTTGTGAAATTCTATAAACTATGTCAATTCATTTGACTCTGTTATGAAACTGGTCACAAAACTAAAAAAATGCACTTTTTACTGTGCACAAGGCCACTTTTCAGCAACTCAAAAGTCAAGAATACCCAAAGTGTATCCTTAAAATACCTGTTTAAAGCTCATTAAATCATCTTATCACAACATACTGTATATTTTGATATCTCTTCACCCTTTCTCGCTTAGGTGGCTGTTAAAGTGATTATCTTTGTAATCCGTAAATATATCCGTCTGTGTCACTACCTTGGTGCGTGCAAGGCAGTGCAACATGTTTTAAACATGAAAAGGGCCAAATGTATTAACAAATAAAGTCTAATGAACGTTCGCCCGCGTTGCATGATGTCCTCTACGCGTGACACAGCAAACACAACCATATCATGAAAGAGTTGGTTTTTACAGGAACCTGTCACGATGCTCTCTTTCCTGACGTTTCCTCAAAGATAAGTGGCACATGCAAGAAAACGTGTGCGTATGAGTGTTTGTGCGTGTCTAAGAGAAAGAGACAGTGAGAGAAAAAGAGAGTGACGTGGAGGTTCGGTACAAGTAGTAAATGTTGTATCCAACCACAAAGAATACTCTGTCACTTATATTATGACAACACATCAATTTGCTGCGTTCTGTGGAGGTCAATTTTCAGAAGACACAAATATGAATTGGGATTCGTAGCATGTAAATAAAGGTAATTTTGTCTTAATGTCTTAAATTCGAATGTATAAACGTGCTAACTAATTCACATGATTCAAGATATGTGTGATGCATATAGATTATAAAGTTAACCACATGAAAATACAAACCACATAACACTGCAAGATGTGTCGATACAAGGGTTTCAAAATCATGCAAAGTACAGCAGAATACACTGTCACTGTCGACAAAACATTCAGAAACAAATATAGCATCTGTGCATTTTAGCAGATAATGTCACTATGGTTTGACTTATGTATTTAGTTTTGTGGTGAGTACAGACATTTAGGATTTGCATAAAAACTAAAAATTGATGGGTTTCAATTCAGTGCTCGCACAAATCTACTCACTACTACACTTTTGTCCAAAGGCTTTCAAATGAAATGCATTCTTATAGCTGCTTTTTTATCTTTTATACTTAAGTGAGCAAATGGCTAAAACATAGTTCCTGACCTTACATCCTACATTCAAAGAGCTTTGACACTTACCCAGACACCCAAAAAAGTACAGCATCAGACAGACAACTTCAGATGCTGAGGCTTGAAGCAGTGATACGAACCTTTGCCTCAGTTGCTCGCCTTCCATAAAATGTGTTAGTCTGTGATGCAAGAAGCTTAAACCCACCCACAGAGAGGAATTGACTCTGCTAACTTCCCCTTTTTCTTCCTGCTCATTTTCATATCAGCCCTCTGGACAGTTGTGGTGATAAGTGCAAGCGGGCTAAACATTGACGCAGAACCATTTGTGTCGGGCATATAGCACACTTTTATTTAAGGTGATTTCTTATTCGGTAAGCTGCCAATTTCAGTATTACAGGAACAAGACATAAACAAACGTCAAGCTGATAACTTCTGCAGGCATTAAAAAGTCTGCTCATTGTGTTTTACAAAAACTAAATTAATAACTCCCAAATTTAAATTTTGAGCTTTTTGGTGAGTTGTTTGTGGTAGTCCTCCTGACATGTCCCGCCGCCAGGGGGCGCACTATACAACCCGTTCACCGCGGAGGGCTACATTAGGACCAGCTTCCGGCCTGTAACGTCCTCTTTTCCTCTGCATCGGGACGTAGCCATGGTAAGACATTTCCTCACGCATTACACTTTTACAGAATCTAACTCAATCTTGCAAATTAAAGAATCCTTACTGCTTCTAGTTAACTCACATATGTTAACAATCTTTCGATACACATACTGATGGTAGTATTATCCACCTAATGTACATTTTAAGCTGTTATATTGTAATTTTACTCCCGCTTGCGGTGTTTGTGGTGAAATGCTGCTTCTGCAATGCGTACGTCCACTTCAACCGGCCTCTTTATTAAGATACATTAAAGTTAGCTGTTAGTCAACGTTAAAGTTATGACCAACACCATCATTCCCACGTATGCATTATTGCAGCGTTACACGTTTACACATTTCGTGTTTAATTCACGTTAAATAGCTACAATGCTAACATGTTAGCTCGCTAGCTAGTGTCGCCTACTTTTACGCCGACCGGGGCGCTAACACTTAGCTACGTTTTAATGTTAAACACGGGACTATTGTCCGTTAACGGGATGTTACTAAATGCGTTAACGTGACACAGTGTCGATGAAGTTTAAGTTTTAAAACCGTTGAGCACTACGTTTAGCTAGCTAGCTAGCTAGCTAATCAACTTAAATGTTAAGCAGTTGTCAACCAAGATCCGTTAATAACGACCCGTAATCTGATTTACAGGCTTTGGGTGTCAATATAATTCATTTCCCAACGTGTCATGTGTAGAGCTTGAACTAGTTTCTCAGTCTGCTACCAGATTTATTGCAGGTATGCTCATGGGTTATCTTTTGTGTTCTCCAGGTTAACGTCCCGAAGACCCGCAGAACCTACTGCAAGAAGTGCAAGAAGCACCAACCCCACAAAGTTACCCAGTACAAGAAGGGAAAGGATTCCCTCTATGCACAGGGTGATTATTCCCTCTTTTTATAGTGGTGTGTGTATCGCTGTATGGTAAATGAGTTGTCATGAAATGTAGCTGAACTGTATGTGTTCTGCAGGTAAGAGGAGATACGACAGAAAGCAAAGCGGGTACGGTGGACAGACCAAGCCCATCTTCAGAAAAAAGGTAAGTTGTGCTGTTAGATCTGCCATGTGTCTTGTGTCTGTGTGTTAGTGAAATCAGACCCAATGATGATCTGTCTTTTCAGGCTAAGACCACGAAGAAGATTGTGCTGAGGCTTGAGTGTGTCGAGCCCAACTGCAGATCCAAGAGAATGCTGGCCATCAAGAGATGCAAGCACTTCGAGTTGGGTGGTGACAAGAAGAGAAAGGTACGAGTCATTGATGTCGTATTATTTAGTGATTTTAAATTCCCGCAGTGCACTGTAAGTCATGGGTTGTTTTCAGGTATGCTTTCTGAATTGTGCAGACTGATGCACCTCAAATCCTAAATCTTCTGCGGCTAGCTTTACCTGTTGTCTAACTCACTATCTTAACAGTTAATTAATTTTATATTTAATAGATCTTATTCACCACCACTTTATACGAGTTGTACTGTGGGTGCACATACACTTCCTTCCATAAGATAAGGGACTTGTCCCTTATCTTTCTGGCCTCATGATGCAGTTCTGTCAAATTTTTAGGAGATCTGCTAATTGCTTTAAAATAAACTATTTTGTTGTAAATATCAGTTTTTGTAGTTTTTACCTGACGTGAAAGACTTGGTGCAAGTGGTTTTTAATCTTGCTTGTGAATTTGTGGTCTGGATAGGGTCAAGTAAGAACAAATGTTCCTCAAAATTAGTGGAACTGTGGCACCTTTTAATACTAAAATGCAAAACCGAAGAACAATTCAGCTATTTTGTTCCTTGGTGAACTGAAGAAACTTTTCCTTAAGTGTTCGTTTCACACTGATTAGCTTGTGGTGGATCTTGCTCTTGACATTTAGGGTGGTTTTATGAGATGAATGGACAACATGTAAATAGCAGAGTAGCATCTTTGTCTAGGGGTCTTCATGTACCTGACAGTGCAACATTAACCCAACATCTTTGGATCACAATAAGATGACATGTGAGGTGAACATGATCACATACACTCTTTATTTGAAGATAATGAAACAGTTTTATTCTCCTCGTAGTAGATTGTGAATTCATTGTATTTGAGTGAACCACATGTCATTTACACATTTGTATTTAACTCTGCTTGTGCATCATTCTAATAATTTGTTTTTCTCTTGCAGGGCCAGGTCATCCAGTTCTAAGCTGTGGGCCAGTTTCCTGGAGGAAATTTTCATTTTCAATAAATGTATTAAAACATACATTTGGAGTTTGGCTCTTTCCTTTGCCTCTAGTTTCAATATGCTTGTCATGTTTGCAAAATTCAAGCTTTGTCTTTTATTATTATTATTATTATTATTATTATAATAGGCAGCGTCTGGACAATTCCCAGCATGTGTTCAAAAATACTTATTTTAAATTACCAGGAATTTATTCAACATGATTAAAAAGGAGCTGATGTACAATATTCATAGTATTGGGAGGATTCAAGTAAACTATAAAACATTTTCCCTTTTTTAAATTAAGACTTTTTTTTTTTTTGGAAAAGCGACAAATCGGTAGTGCAAAGCCACCGAAGGATTACAAAATTATGTGGTTGCGTTTCACAGCCGTGTCCTCCCAGTAGAGCTCACTGAGCCCCGTGAAGTCTCCGCTGATGGGAGTGACGGTCAGTAGAGCTGTGCCTGAGGGGTTGACAGACACGACCACTTTGGTATGTGGAGTCTGAACACCCAGTTCCTTGTACTGAGGCAGGACCTGTGTGAGGTTGCACTGCGGGTCACAGATCTTCCAGCCAGGAACCGCTCTTAGGAAAAACCCTCGCGGACCACCGATCTCCATCATGTTCAGCACAGCGATGGCCAGTCTCTTCTTAGACAGAGGCCTCTCCCACACCTCAAAAGTGTCCACCTGTAGGAGAAGTTATGCTTGATTCCACACTTTGAATTGCCATTATTAGTTTGATCATCACCCACACATGATAAAATGAAGATCATTGCTAGAAGTCGTAAGTTTGTCTGAGGCTCTGTTAAGTTGACCAGAGCATTTAGCATTTATATTTAGCGATTAATGCTGATTCCAGGAGGGGTTTATACTCTGTCACCTCTCACCCACCTTGACAGTGCGGTATCCTTGCTTGCCCAGCGGGTCCTGGCTGATGGCTATGATGTGTTTGTTCTGCAGCAGCTCCTTGGAGCGAGGACAGATGTCCCTCAGATCATTAGACACCAGCAGAGGGGCCGCCATGATGGCCCATAATGCCATCTGAGACTCCTGCTGGGCATGGCTGAGGCCAAAGTTCCCAATCACGAGCTAAATGGGAAAATAACGCAATTTAGGATATATCTTTTCTTTTATACGTTGTGGTTTTCAAACTAATTTAACCCTTTTATTGGAGTGAATAATTAACTGAACCTATAAAAATGTAAATAACAGAAGCTTCAACTAAGATGGTGCATTTTAAGGGAATGGTTTGTCGTTTTGGGAAATAAACTGATATAATTGTGATACGTGACTTTAACTGGTGGTATCGATCTCATCTATCTCCCTGCAAGAAAACAAATGAGATTAAAATGTTCCTACAACTTTTCCTCTTTAAAATGATTATACAGCTTGAAGTGCACTGGTTGTTTGCTTAGGTTAAGGTCAAACAGGAGTATATAAGGGCTGGAGTAGAGCAGAGTACCATATCGGGGTCGTTCCATCCTCCAGGTCCAGCCGAGGGGACGATAACGTCTTGATGAGAAGCGGTCCATTCCAAGATAGACTTGATAGAGCTCCATGAGTCGTACACGTCATTGAAGTTGCGCCAGTGGTTACAGGCCTCTCGAATGGCTGTGTAGTTGGGCTGCAGGCACAGCAATGCTCTTATGTCAAATAAAACATGATGTATGGCGTCATCAAGCAGTGGACAATCGTTAATAAGTATTCATATTTGTTTTTACTATTGTGTGGGTCGAATGTTGGAAGATAAAACCGATAATGATTGATACCGATAATGCATGTCAAGATTTAAAGTTATTTTTTATTTACTAAGTAATCTACCAATTGTTAAGGCAAAAAAAATATCAAAAAATTGTGAAAGATTACTGTTATGATTTCCCATCTCTAAAATGATAAAGATAAGCATAAAATCCTTGCTGGAGCATTTTTGCTATTAAAAAAAACAAACAAAAAAAAAAAAATCGCTAAAATGTTGTTTTAATTCAAAGTGCTGTAAAGTCAAAACAACGTCTCACCTTTTGGAAAGGCCACTCATACAAAGGCCACTCACAGGAGTACAGGATACTTCTTCCGGTTTTGTTCAGTGCTTTTGACATGTTCACGTATCCTTAACCAGAATAAATCATAACGTGTTAGATTAAAGCCCATAAAAAAGCTTGTCTATTGAGTCCGTGGAGGTTCGGAATCAGAGAACCAAAATATGGACCCAGATAAAGATTTAATTGAATGTGTATTCATTTACATACATATCAATCAGCCCCTTTGAGTAGTATTTGCTTTTGGTGAAATACATAGCAGTAATTGGGGATATTGTTCGTTCGTTGCCATGTTCAAATAATTAAAAATCATACTTCAGAATTCTAAACTCACCTTCTCCCAGCAAGGTCCAGTCCATATTGCAGCCATCAAATTTGAGCAGATCCACATCCCAGTCAGCAAAAGTCTGAGCATCTGTCTCATAGTAACCAAGACTGCCTGGGTATCCAGCACAGGTCTTTTTCCCAACATCTGCATAGATGCCCAGCTTCAGTCCCTTAGAATGGACCTGAAGACAGAGAAATACATTTCATTGATGGAGCTTACAAGTGCAGGATATTTGAAGAGGGACGGTTTGCAGACATTCAGGCAAAGATACTCAAAAACTGAAAAGGAGGCCTCTTTTTAAAAGATCTTACAGATCAAAACGTTGCCTTAAAACGAGAGATACACTATTTATTTGGAGCCTAACAGTGTGCAGACCTTTGTGCCCTGCAGGATATGGATATTCTACCAGTGGGTGGCGATGTTGCACAGCGAGAAACTTGGTGCCTCTGTCACAGGACACAGCTCTGCCTTCGTGGGCCCAAATGTACCCATTTCCTGGTGAACGTCACTTTTCAGCAGCCCGTGTAGGAACCAGCCTGTCACAGTGGCCTCCAGCTCAAGAGAGTTGTAGCAGAGAGTGTGAACGACGGCGCACTCCTACACGAGACCAATATGTGCCTACGTGTCTCCCCTGGCTCTCCAGGTGCTGAATTTCTACCGGCATGAAATCCGAAACCTGGGTTCCACATCTGGTCCTTTCCCCTTCATTATGTAAATAACTTCAGGTCGGCTCAGATGGATGTGTAATGAATATGTAATCTGACTGTGTAATCACTTTTACTCCGAGAGTTATTTAACTCTCACTTTAATTTTTTTATTTGTCAAAGATTTCCAAAGTTAGACGCATTGCACCACAGATTTGTTGACGTTGCACCCCGTGGAATCACATCAAAGGGAATATGTGTTAAATATGACATAGTTTACCATTATATAACTGTGTATACTATTCATAATGCAGCCCATAGCCTGGAAACTAGAATACAACAAGTCATATCCAAGTGCACACTCTCATTTTTGCCCTCTTCCAGCTGGTGAAGAGAATTGAAAGTATTTCTCGCTTCTCTTAAGTCTCTCTGAACGCCTCTCTCTTTGATGCCTATGGAGGAATTATGGCATTAATAGAGTATTCACACCCAGAGTCTCCATGCCTCTTTTATATCTACTACTCACGTAGTCGGCCAGTTTCTTGATGCCCCCCGGGAATCGTTTTGGGTCTGCCTGCAGGCGGCCCTGGGCATCGCGCTGGTGGGAGGGCCAGCAGTCGTCGATGCAGACGTACTCGTAACCGGCCTCGTTCCAGCCCTCCTTCGCCATCACATCTGCCATCTGCATGTACAGACGCTCACTGCCAGGGCAACAGCAGGAGACAGGCGGGGACGATAGTATCAGTTCAGATGCCAGTGTTCGATGTCATGTGCACGAGCAATATGGCAGACACAAATATGTTATTCTCATGATGCCAGTCTCTCTGTTGTTCATTGTCGACCGGTATGACACAATAACAATCCAACCAACAGGCAACGCTTTGTTGGCCAGCTCTCTCTAGGAGAAAAAAATGTTTGCTGTGCAAAAGAAGTGAGTTATTTGAGTAAACAAAAAGAGACTCTATTAACTTATTATGACCAATGCTGCAATCGTTAGTCGATTAATTGATTTGTATCTGCAACTCTTATGATAATTGATTGATTTAGTGACAAACATGTGATCGTAAACTGAATATCTTTTGAACTGAATATCGATCTGGTTTCTCACTTTGGGCTCTGAAAACGTGATGAGCTTTATTATCTTGCTTTTTCACATTTAATAGACTAAAGTATGAATTAGTTACTCAAGAAAAATAATCAGCAGATGAATAAATAATGAAAGCAATCATTAGCTGCAGCCCTAAGAATGACCTAGCATCTATGTATGTATATATATATATATATATATATATATATATATATATATATATATATGCTGCATTGGCTGATCTTACATTATAGTAAATTGAATATATTTGGGTCTCGTCAGCAAGTCAAACAAAACAAGACTCATGAGGACACCACCTTGGGTTTTACAGTACCTAATATTGATGTGCAATTTTCACTGTGTTCAAAAACTATTGATTATTTGAGAAAATAATTGGCAGGTTGATGTTGAAACTAATGGTTTGTTGCAGCCTTATGTTTTCTATTGTCTTTTTTCCCCCGATGAATCGGGTTCATGCCTGTACGAGACCATATTACCGTTAACGTGTCTGACATGTGTGCATGCTTTTATGTTCCTTGTTCACAAAGTGCTTGGCACATTTATTTTATCACATTTCACATGACATTATTATCTCCCAGTGCCTCAAACCAAAGAACAAACAAAGGTAAATGAAATCAGGCGGTGTCATTATCGTCCTGTCTTATCAAATGTCCACTCTGTTTACAATCACGTGTCTCAGCTATCATTTCCTGAGACGGTTTCTCAATTATGAAATAAAGATCACAAGATAATTACAAGCTGTCATAATTAAGAAATAATGATTGCATTAAAAATAATGACCATGTAATCAGTTTGTAGTTATAATTCTGAGATAAGCCACGCTTACAGTTGCATGTTTAGGATTCATCTTTTGTTATTACCCCATAGATTTGTTTGTTAGTTTACAAACCCCATATAGTCACTTCCTGCACACGGGGGCCTACATAAGAGCGTTCATTTACGTTTTTTTTACGTTTAAGTGATTTTCTAACAGACATTGCATAAATGAGATGATTAAAAGAGGAGGAGTTGTAGTTTTTCTCATAAAATAAAACTGCAGCTCAGCTGTCTCTTACCTGATGCAGTTGTTGGGGTCCCTGTCACAGTCGATGTTACACATGAACCTCTCCCAATGCAGCCAGCCCATTGTGGGCTTCAGCGCGAGACCATTGTCCAACGCGTCAGCAGCGGGGCTGACTAAAACGACGAGCGCAAGGAGACACGCGACTCTGCACATTTTGACTTTTAAACCCGACAGTTTTCGCACGACAATGACAGTAAGCGCCTGTGTTTTAATTTGTATCCATTTCCTCGTTTTAAACGCCTTCAGCCCGCCCCATGAACGATTGACGTAATTCTGGACCAATAGAATCGAAATGCGCCTGTAACTGTCCAATAGCGTTTCAACTACAAACTAGGAAGCGCTGAAAGTCCGCTGATGGAGTCAGGTGAAAACATGATGTCAGCTGACATGACATGACAGCGTAATAAGCATGTCTCGTGACGTTCCTTAACACTGAAACATAATGAAACGTAAAGCCAAAATGAAAAAGATTCAGGTGGCATTTAATGATGTTTGTGACTCGTAATGTTCCCACCTTCCATGCTGTGTTGAGGAATTTTATCTACACATTTAAATGTCAATTGAATGACTCAGAAAATGTAATCATAAAGGCCTTAACTGAGCCGACACAGAGTGATACAAGATATTCTTCTTGTTTCTGGAAACATTGGAACAAATGTCTGTATGTTTTTTTAACCACGAGTGACTTTTGACCTGCAATGATTATACCTGCGTCTTAATGTCCTCGTATTGTAAAGTCATCCTTTATGCTACAGTATTTTTTCATGAGGGCATTCATGGATAAATTGAGGGCATTAACCATCATCTTGTGTCCAAAATAAAGTCAGGTGTTTCTGCAAAACCATAAAAACTGTAAGTGAAAAATCAACAAATACCCATGATATCTATTTGCATTTGCTTTCCAGCAGAAAATTGCCCAATTTACCCCCCACCCCACAGAAATGCCACACACGCTATCAGCAATAATGTAGGACTATGTACATATCGACGCAGCTTCACACTGTTTATTATAACCGGATCCAAGAGACTAATTTGTCTGGTGTTAAATTAATTCCAGATAGGTCTCTTAATTTAGCTGTAAACAGACACCCTGCTTACAGAAGCAAATTAATCCTGGATGTTTTTCCTTGTGAAATTGTCAGCGATCTTCTCACACACGCAGAGAGAGTGACGAGCTTTGTATTTATTGCAATACTTTGCCATTTAGTAGTAATTTAAGGAGACTACTGCATAATAATTATTTGCTAATGAAACCAGCTTTTGGGAAGTTCGTACAGAGTTGCAAGAGAGTTTAACTTTATGGAGGAGACACTATTTATATCAGCAGACGGCCTCAGTTAAACCCTCCTGTGATCTTGCTCCAGTCATGTCATTGCTGTGAACGACTCCTTGTGTCCTGATATTGAGAGGAGTCAAAACGAAGGAGGCAACGTTTACGAGTGGGCACAAACCCAAATTAAGACAATAATCCTCGTCTGCTGGCTGCAAGTAAACAGGGAACATTAACTGACACAAAACCTGACCTTTCAGTGAAATGTCAAGGGTGTCTATTTCAACCCTAAACATTATCAGAGGCTTCCCCCAGGGACAGGCCTGATACAAACAATTTGTCACTTGCCATAGTTCATATCAGTGCCAGCGAGCAAAGGCATTGGGGCTCTAAATGTCAGATTTCAATTTGATCCACCTTCCCCGCTGATGGATGGAGCAATCCAGCTCACTTGAATACACGGTTTTCTTTTTGTAAAAATGGGATCTCCCCCACCGTCGTGATAGAGATCCTTGTTGTTTTTTCCCAGCGCTGCATAAAAGAGCAGCGTGCCTCTATCTGTAAAGTGGTTAATTGAGATTGTTGACAGATGGGCAGCTTGTGCTTTCTGTCTGACGTATGGCTCCCCACAGCTTTGACACCAATCCATCACGTTCCCTTCTTCGCCAGCGTCACAACATTGAAGAGACTTGGTTATGAAGTGCAGGCTGTGGGGATGAAATGAAAGGGAATGCCGTGTTATGGCGGACCTTCTTGCCAAGACGTTGCATCACTGTATTGATCAATAGGTGATAGAGCGAGCAAATGTCATCACATAGTTGTGCCTCCATAAAGAAAGCACTGTATGGCTCACATACTCTCAGTGGAAAGCCTTTATTGTCTTGTAATTAGCTGCTTTTAAGTTGTTTATGTGGCTGTGACAGCGGAATGAGCCCACATGTGCTGATGCTGCTACTTTAATTAGGTCCTTGTTGAGCTGAGAAACGGAGAAATGGCTCTTACTAATAAGCTAACAATATGACATGTAAATTACTTTGTTAATTGATGATTTTCAGTTTAGTTGATTTTTTTTCCATTTAACATTTCTGTGCAGTTCAAGTAACAAGTTGAAGATCGATTTTAGATTTTCTGATCTCAGGCGGTTAATTTAGGGTTTCCATGTTTGTTCCATGTTTGTGGGGCTTCTTCATTCGGTGACAGCTTACAAGTAAAAGGTTTCACTTGACAATCTCTAATGACTAATCATAATTACAATGTGAATATATACATATATATATATATATTAAACACTCCACCACCAGACGCCCCCATATAGAATTTGGATTTAATATTTAGTGTTTTTATTTTTTATTTAAGATATCTTTAATTAAATTGTGAGTAGTACGAATGCACCATTAAGTTGTATTGTGATTCAAAACTAAATTGGAGAAATCTGTAATTAGATTGTCAATGGTTCATTCTAACTCGTCAAAAGGTAATTAGAAAGTCATGACTGTAATGTGCTTTAATGTGAATACCCTCAATCTTATATACTGTATGTTAAATCTGCTTGTCCTAGAGGTCGAAAATATGTTTTTCCTAGATCCTCACAGAAGCGTGTAGAGCAAAGATAGATGTATCAGGTATTTGTGATTTAGATTAAATCCCTCATCACAGAAGCGCTCCACAGTGTGTTGCTTCAACAACAGTTTTCTATGTTGCAGTAGCTGCATGTTCTGTATTCCATCATATTAAGACATTTTGAGTAAAGCAGAGGGCTGAAATGCATTATTTGTTTATTATATGTAAGCAGTTCATATGTGATTCTTCATTTTCTGTTGACATCACATATGATTTATAAAACAGGTTGGGAATTCATTTTCTTTCAAATGTACTTTACCGTTGGCATCTCTGCAGCTCCTTTCAGATGTTTAGCATCGTACTGAGGGCAAGCCATTTAAAAAAAAAAATCAATAAAACTTCATAATAAATGATTCACCAAATACTTTATTCACTGCCTTTTAGCTAAAGGGTTCAAATGAAAGAAGCACCAAGTAAATCATAAGTATTGTGATTTTTCTGAGAGAAAAGAGAAAATTCAATATCCTCTGTTCTCATACCCAGACGTCAAACATTTGTCACATTTCTGTCCTGGACATGATGTGCCCATCATTTACTCTCTTGCCAATGTGAAGATGCTGTTCATCAATGTTATCCTAGTGATTACATCTGAACTATTATTATTATTGATCAGCTAACCCAGCAGAGGGAGTTACAGAGCCTCTGTAAGCTGTACTTTAGCTTATTTTGAGAAAATCTATTTTAATAGTGTAGCTGATACATAAGTCAGTTTGTTGTCCTTGCTGTCACAAGTACACAAAGACTGACCTTCTGGCCTCAGTTACAAAAGCAGCATGGACCTGCAAGGACTAATTCTACCTTTGAGGAGACCTGATGATGCACGCTCTCCACAATAATTAGATAGAACTGCGTATTGTGTACTATAGCTGGTAAACAAAGTGTATTGTAAAATCAATAAAAAGCAGAGAGAGGAATAACATTTCTGATGGAATCAATGATTTGTGCAGCTCAGTATGCAGGACATTTACTCAAGGATATTTTGAGGCAGTCTACTTGGCGTCTGCTTTGGTCTTGTTCTTTGGCATTTTTCATGTTTTTGTCCATTCAAAGTCAAAACAGATGGATGAAGGACACTTCAGATACAATTATGCTAAAAGACTCATAAAAATAAGTTCCTTTAAATCTTTCCAATTGGCACAATGTCCGCCTCAATTGTGAGGATTCCTGCTCATTCTGCCTCTCTGTCCCTTATCTTCAGACACATTTCCACTTTCCCAGACCCCTCCAGTGTTATTCTTCACCTGTCAACAAGAGGGCTTCAGACTTTCTTTCTATTCCAGATCCTGCAATCACCTCACCTGCGCGTCCCTGCCCATCCCCCCACCTGCACCTCATTTCCTCATAAGCCGTGCAGCATATATAGCATCCCCCTTTCTCCAGTCAGTTGTCACATAGTTGAAGTTTCTTTGCTTTTGAGCCACGTGTACCTGCCTGCTAACCTGCCTGCCTGCACCTACCTGTCAACCCACCCAACTAAATGTATCTGTAAGCTTATTTGTTTCTTCAACATGGTCATTAAATCATTGAGCTGTCACACTCTGCCTCCCACTCCATCCTGCTGCCTGACACCAACTGGAACTTTTTGTTCCAATAAATACTGGATCACCGCCCCTAATTCAATATACAGATTAATGGGAAACAGGTGATCACTGAGCCATTTGGACCAATATTGAGTCATATAGTTTTTATTGTTGTTTTGATTGAGCAGTCATTGATTTTTGTTTTTAGCCATATTAGCGGCATGTCTCGTGTGATTGCAATGTCAGTCGGTTAGTTGGGGACTGAAATATATCTATCTCATGGAACAAACATTCATGGTGCGTAGATGATGAAACAAATGACTTTGGTGATTACATTTCCTCTAGTTCCACAATGAAATTGACATTTGTGGTTTTGGGTGAAATTTCTTGACAACTTTTGTATTTTGCCATCAGGTCAAACTTTGAAATTGTCCAGTACTTCATTTAACTAATGACATTACCATCATCCTCAGCTTTACTTTGTGTGTTGTGGCAATAAGCAAATATTCTGCTCACCGTCTAAATATGAGTTTTGTTCCAAAGCCACATACTACAACACACTAATACCATACAGTATGTTTTATATACTGATCATGCTAGTATGCAGTTCCAGCAGTTGGCATACACAAATATCAACCTGCACTGCATTTCGAATCACTCTTATTTTACTTTTAGTGCATACTACAGCTGCCCTCAGAAAGCAAGTACTATTGCATGCAGTATGCATACAATAGGGACATACTACTTCATCGTAACATTCACCTTGAACTCTGACCCTCTTGCGCTGCGCAGAGGATTGTGGGTCAGAATAGCCAGAGGAGCATG